TGCGTTGAAAAGTCTGCAATTTTTAATGGATATAAATAAAATTTAACAAAAGATTTGTATATCAATTTATTTTATTATAATAATAAAAAATATGCTAATAGTTGTAAGGATTAATATTTTTAAAATGTACATTATTTTTTATATAAAACTCATTTTTTTACAAAAATTCTAAAAACTTTTTCTAACATATCAATTTTATTTAATATGGTTGACAATTTTTTTAATAACTGTTACTAAATTTAATGCTATTTTTGGATCACATGTATGGTCTTGGATATTAATTATTACTTGATTATTAGCATATTTTTTATTAATAATAAAATATTAACAATAAAATTGAAATACAATTAGAGTTAAATTTTATATCCATTAAAAATTAAAAACTTTCCTTTTTTCAACGCAATTTCTATTTGTTCAATAACTGAACATTTAGAAAATGACAGCTGATTTCAACGTCTTTTCGTGAGGCATCCTGTAATAATTGTAGATGTATACATTATGAACGATGTGTGTTTACTTTAAAATTACACACACACACACACACACACACACACACACACATACACACAGAAATGATCAATTTACATTTTAACACTAATAGAAGTTAAAAATAACAAAACTTATTTAATTCAAGGAATAAGTTACTGTTACTCCCTTTTTATCTAACAGTATAAAGATTAATTTGTACTTTTTTGTCTTGTTTAATCAATTTTAGATACTCCTCAATTTTTTTATGGAAAACTTTATCGCAAATTATTGAAAAATGTACAGTGTGCTTATAACTTCACAAAAAACATAATATTTTTGTTATTACTAACTAATATAATAATATAATAATATAAATTTAAAAAATTATGAAGTGAAATAAGCAAAACTTACGCAAAATTTAAATATTTGAAAAAATATATGACATGATTTCTCTCTCTCTCTCTCTCTCTCTCTCTCTCTCTCTCCTCTCTCTCTCTCTCTCTCTCGGTCGTCTGCTTACAAAAGTATGTATGTTAGATCTGCCAAAATAACACAAATTTTTAAAAAATTTATTCAGCTTCATAGACTACTAGTTTGAATGATACGATCGAAAATATTCGAGTTCGCACGATAATATTTTGATGTTAAAATGCATTTATTCGAGACACAGCAAAGCGCCAATGAGTCTGCATTTTCAGAAAATTTTATCCTCCTGAATGATGCATATCTGCCGATAACGAACATTGCAGCTTCCTATAATCGATTTCACGTGCCACGACGAATAATGGTTGACAGAATCAGCGATCCGTCCTATCCGTCTTCCTATGTAAATGATTCGGTACAAGGGATAGGGATCGTAAGCTAGCCGTTCAATTTCCTTCATAGATGTGTACACCTACGAACGATTCACGTTAAATGGCTGCAATAAAAACAATGCGCGTGTCATAATTAAAATACATCGACTTATATATCACTAGCATCCATAAATTCGATGCAAAGTAAGTTGAAGAATTATGATGACTCAAATATAATAACATTTTATCAAAATTTCGACACTTTTTGATCGGGGCGATGATTCGCAAGTTAAATTAAATTATATTACGATAAAAAATCTATCAATTTGAAAATTATTTCGGATTTGCATCTCTCTGTCAGATTATCTACCTTCATATAGACTTTCAATCCTAGTGCAAGGATATCAGCATCTTCCAACTAATCTACTTTAATGCGCTTAGGAAGGGGAAGTTCTTGCAGTTAAGTTGACGTAGTCTCATCGGCAAAGTTGCTTTGTTACTCGTTTGGTTGAGACACGACGTCCTAATTTCAAGAATACGAAATATGTAGAGATATATTTTCATATGCATCTTAATAATATTGAGTCGGAACAAAAGTTCATAACGTTATTTTATTCATATTTTTTTATGTTTATATTATTTTTAAAAGAATTTGGCAATTATACCATTTGACAGAATAAAGCTTTCAGCTTTAAGACTCTGTTTTTTTTATAATTACAGTACGATGATTTTTAACAGAATTACGGGCAATTAAAATTATTATGTTCCTTTTATTTAATCCACGATAACTCAGTAACAAAAAATCGTAGAGACATTTTTAAAAAACAATTTTATAGGGAAAACTTTCAGCTTTCACGTTAGAAAGTTGGAAATTTTTACAAGTTTTTTTGGATATGTGACAGGTCCACAAAGTGAAAAGTCTCATTTCGTCCAGCTTGTAGTTTTTTACATGTAAAAAGTAACAAACTCATAGAAACTCATATTTTCTATGAATTTCCAAAAATAGATACTTTAAGCTTTAAAATCCTTTTTTTAAATTTAAATTTCATTCATTTTTAACGAAGTTACAGCTGAATTTTGAAGCGTTTAAACGAACTTTTATTCCAACTTCTATTCTTAACACATTTAATAAAAGTTCTATGAGAACTTTCTCGAATTCTTTCCATCTCTTCGAAAATATGCTTAAAATTGATAATAAACACGAATGAACTGAGATAATACTCTTGACATTATTCCTCTTTGTGGATCCTCCAAAAATAGCTTACACTTTGAAGATCTTCTGTATCCGATAATCTTGACAATAAATTCAATGTTCTATCAAGGAGATAGTATTACGTGTCAGCCTTACTAAATGTCGAGTATACACCCTGGATACAGACGAATGGGGTGCTTTCTGGATACAGAACCGATTCTGTCCCGTCTCGCTTTAAATGGCAAAGGGTTGACCCAGTCCGACCTTTTAAAGTTCTCTGATAAACCAAGCTGGAACAAAAGGTTGGCCAAGAAACCATTCCGGTGATTCGATTGCACACGAACGAGAGGTATCCTACTTTCTTTCTTTCAACTCCTACTGCATACGTCTTCATCGTAGTTCGCCCATTGTTCTTTCGCTCCTACTCACTAGATTTTCATGCCTGATCAACGTGTAGCCCGTTCGTAAATGCGTTCCGTATGGAGCATTTCAATCAGGCAATTCAATCGCGAATAGTATCAAAAGGTAACGTCAACACATAATTCTTAAAATACATACCACAAGAGAATTATTAATTTTGTGTATGCACTTTGATTTCTTTTATATATATTCCAATGCGCCAAATATACGAAACAAGCAAGTCACACATTTTTGTGAATCTTTCTATTTTCAATTTCTTGCTATCTTTACCTTAATTTTACTATTTTAACATTTTTCTTTTTTCTTATAATTTTCATACCTTTTTCATTATAAAATTCTAGAAAAAAAATGCAAAAATACAAAATTATACAAGATTCTTAATGAATGCAGAGTATTAAAGGCAATTAAATGCAAGATTGAAAATAATATCTTTTCCGTTCAATGCATATAATATTAACTTTAACCATTTGGGAAACTATACTTGCAAACTAGAAATCGTTAATACCTGGGATCATGTCTTTAGCGTACCGACTTACGACTCTCTAGTGGATTATCTATAATATGATTCGCCGATAAGTTCATTAATCCAACTAGCTTCTGGAAAGAACACGATTTTAATTAAAAACTCAATTCAACGATGTTTTCCTGAGGGATAATCACACTGAACTGTGCATTTTAAGTTATATTGATATCCAAATAACGTAATTATATATATGATATCGTAATTTTCCGACAATTTACGCACATCGTAAATTCAGCTGTAAGCCTCTAGCTCGCCCCAATCAGCCCGTGATTGATAGCGATCGCGACTAATCCATGGAGGATACTCCAACGTATTATCTACTCTAATAAATTGCGCGTAATAAAATAAAATAATCTTCGATATTACGAACGTCAGAACAAAACGTCAAGCGGTAATTTCGATGGATTATTATTGCCGCGAAAATAATTCGATGAAGAATATCTCAACATTTTCACCGACTCGTAAATCGATTGTTCTATAGCGAAGGTACTATACAATTCTGGCACTGAAATCTCTGTAGTTTTCATAAGGCGGAAGTTTCCCTTTTCACGCTACACAGGGAGTGGAAATTGAATTATTTTTCTTTTCCTGTTACGAAAAGAGAGTTCCTCTTAGAAAGTAAACAATTACGTAAGAAAGTAAACAATTATATAAACAATTGTGACAATTGTTTATGCAAAGAATTGTTTATTACGACTAGGTTTATGCGAAGATATTTTGAAAAATGTTAATTTTTGCTATCAATAATCGAATTGTTTGTGTAATTCACCATTTTAAGAATCATTTAGAGCTGAGCAACTTTAGTTCTGTTAACAGATAGCTGCAAGAAATCCTGTTAAAGAGTTGAAGTTATATCTTGTGTGAACTTGGAAAACTCGTTTATTTTTCATTAATGCGCTGCTTTTGATGTAAAACTCGTATAATAAAATGTGCAAAAGACATGTAATAAGCCATGCTTTCTTACAAAAGAATTCTTTGTAGCTGTACTGATGCATATAGGGCATCTCACAATTTCCGAGCCGAATTTGAACGACAAATACTCTGACAAATTTTTCTCTTTTAAAAAAGTTTTGTGATAAAACGAATGGATGATAAATGGCTCTTCCGTCGAGCTATGTGCGAAATATTCGAATTTATGCACCCTACTGTTATAGTATATAGCCAATTAGTTGTCACTTGTGTGAATCTAGAATCTAGAATAACATATGATCCGACTGTAACGTATCCTCTTTTGTTAGCGAATTTCTCCATTTCACTCTTCCATCATTAACCTTTCCTTTCGCATTTCGTATATTACTATCGATCGCAGTATTTGAGCTATTTAGAGTTCCAAATCTTTTTCTTTCTTTTACTTTCTCTCACTTTTTCTTCCTTTTAACCTTTTTTTTTTGCAACACAGAGTAGCGAGTGTCACTCACAATGATTTATCGAGAGTCAATGTTTACAGTTAATGTATGCCTCATTAATGTAATTCTTCGAACAATTGTGATTACTTCTGTCAAAGCCACCATCCATCGCCCGTAAATACTGGCATTGCGGGGGGGGGGCGGAAGGGGGGAGGGGAGGGAATTTAAAAGCAGAACTTTAAAATTATAAAACCCACTATCGCACGTGTCTCTGTAAATCTCTCGCTTGGTCTCCTATAGCATTTCTTCTGGTATCTATTGGTAAACCGACGGTTGCAACGTGACATCATGAGCGGTGGGCGAGATCGATCGATCCCAAAGACGTGCCGCGCGAGTTGAATTCCCGCGAGATCCGACAGTCGAGTCCTCCGCAGGTCCTCTGCTACGCGAAGAGCCCTCGTGGAACTCGAATCTTTCAAGGCGAGTCTGGAAAAAGACGGATATAAAATAAGTGCGGGGAGACGAACAGAACAATCGTTCTTTTGCGCCTCAAATTCGTACGATGTTTTCGACACGTCAGAACGTAAAAGATTATCGTGACAAGAAAGACCAAACTTACAGAAAAGAATATTTTCGTTTTTTAATCCTTTATTATCCTAACTAAAGCGAAGTTAACGTAGGAATATAATCTACATTGTATGCAGAAATTTTTGCCCATAATCTTTCCTTTAGCTCCGTCGAGGATTTGGTATTATTTCAACAGTCGCTGTAGCTTAAATGATCTCATATCTTAATGCTTTTGTGTTCATCCCATTGTTAAACGTAGTGACAACACGAGTTATGTATGATGTTAAACATCTCAAGCGTGTTGGACAGTTATAGAAATATCATGACAATTGCATCATCGAGAAATACTTTTGATGTTAATTTAATTAAAGAAATGTAAATAATATTTTAGATTTATTCACTGCGTAATTGACAATATCACAAAAGTATCTGTATATTTAGGTTTGCAAAATATAAAAAATTATTGGAAAAGAAGAAAGGAAAAGGAATGATTGTGTAAAAAAAAGAAAAATTTTAGAATTTTTTTTATACACGTGGAAAAAACGATTTTGCTGAAGTTAGTCTAAAAGTTAATTAGATAGACAGATTTGAAAATAATTTTGTTGGACTATCAAAATCGTATAGGTAAGACGCTCAAAACTAATTACTAGAAAATAAAAACTTTTTACATTGCTTGAAATTACCGAATTGATTATATATATTTTGACAATCCGACATTATGTATTTTCAGATCTGCATCTAGTTAAATTTTTACGGATTTCGACAAAATCATTTTTGCCGTACAATTTTTTTCTGTTAACCGTAATTAAAAACAGTATTTGTTAAAGTTATATAAGTTAGATAGGATTTATTAAAAATATTTATATTATGTGTAAAAATAACAAACAAAACGCGCAGTGAACCATATTCGTTCATAAACTGCAGTTTCAACAATAAGTAACGTGATTCGTCGCGTCATAAATATCAGTAGAAAACGACTTCCTGGAACGTTATAACGGATTCTGCACTACTTCCAAAGCCAAAAAGCAGTACCGTTACTCCACAGGAAATCTTTGAAAGTCGCACGTGTTGCGATGCTACAGCCATTGGTAATATCTCGCTGCTGTGCTCACGTGAATTATTTTACTGAACTTATAAATATTTCATCTGCCATTTTTAAACGTATCGATCTTTATTGTAAAATATTATAAAAATATATAAAAAAAAAATAGTAATTTATATTATATATATAATACAATAATATAAATTTTCATGTAAAAAGCTTTAATGCATGTTATAAGACAATTTTCTGTAAGCCGTAAATTTCTCGTGAATGGCGTTTGAAAAGTTGTTGCTGAACCTTTTAAATCTTTTAAAAATTTAACAACGTTCAGAACTATATCGTGGACTAGTCAAGCAGTTATGAAACAATTGCTATTAAACGAATAGCATTTTAAAAAAGCGTGCTTTTTGTCGTGACGGAGGTAACGCGCGAAGAGATTTTAGTAGGTACGCATAGAAAGCACACCGAACATCATCCGTACAATAATGGCAAAATCTGCATTGTAAATCCTCTCACCTTGTTATTCGGACACAATAATCCAGCAACCTACCGGCCGGATTGGTTGCGCATATCTCAAGATGAAAATCCCGAAGACGTCCGATCGCCTATATCTTCTTTCTCGCGGATAGAGATAACAGTTTCTGCTTTACGACCACAAACTGGCTCGCTGCAGGTGAATCCTCGAGAAAGTGCAAAAGTTCTGCTAGTGCCTAGTTCTGCCGTTACCTTCCCTTCTAACTATCCGATGTATTACCTCGCATTTTCCCCGTATCTCGTTTCTTCTTTTTTCCCATTTTCTCTACGCGTCTGTCTTTTTCTCTTTTGACAATCGTTCTACATCTCTGCGGCAGGAATATGCCAATATTCTGTCAAAGAAATCTAACGAGCTAAACTTCACAACATCAATTCTATTAGATGCGTGAACGCCTTCGAAAACAATATATCCAAAGTTTGCACAGAGTTTCCAGGCTGTTCTCCACTCCCTCCCGGTTTCAAGAACTTATGCGAACATCACCGCGGGGTTCGTAGCTTAAATTGTTGTGACGTGAGTGGCGACGGTCATCCCTAAATACTTTTGCATTATTTCAATTAATATTAAAACTACGAATGCTATTTAATTTTCACGAGGCAGATTGGACTGCTTTTACATAACATTATGCTATTTTGGCTTACATATCAAGTAAATTATATGTTATGAGGAAAAAAGGTGAGAGATAATTATTATAATTTTATACAGTGAAATGCTTAGTTTTCTGGAACATCTAATGTAATTTTACTAATGAACGCGCAGAATTACAGACTATTGCGAACTCATATTACGTTTACATTAAACTATGCTTATTACACATGGAAGATTATGAGCAAGCAGTGCGAAATTCGATGAGTGAACTTTAGTTGAAAATTATATTACAACAAATGATATTAAACGGGGTGTCCTACAAATAATTATGTAATTATTTTATAACGGTAATGTCTCTTTCTGATTAATACAAGTTGTATCGCTATTGTATTTAATTTTTGTGACATACATATTTTAAGTAAGGTGCCATAAATTAATATTAGATTAATTGATGCGCCATTGGATTAAACTAGAAATTGCAAAATTCACACAAAAATATTACTAGGCATTTGCCTAATATGACCTTCTTCGTTTATTTATGTTGAATATTTCTTGGTTAATTTTTATTTAATGTTGTTTAATATTAAATTGTTTTCGCAATAAATACTTTATTATTAAGTTCTTTAGGTTTTAAAACGGTTTTTATTAAAATTAAAAGAATTAATATCTCAATTGATTTCAAATTGATTTTGAAAATCTGAAAGTAATTGGTGCACAATCATATTTTCAAGATAAATTTATTTAAAGAATATATGTGTAAGTTTAACATATTTATTCTTTGATTGAAAGTGGTACTTCCCTCGTATTTAGGTGATTCTCACATAAACAGTCTCGTTTTTAATCTTATTATTGTTTAAATTGTTTTGTTAAACGTATTTTGTTATAATACTTGATATAACGACGTAATCAATATTACATCTCGACAAACTCAAGTGAATTTGCGAACCTGATGATCTATCTTCTGGCGACGCCGTATGTAAATGTTATGTTAAAATAAAATTCTCTCCCATTTTATCCATCGTGTATCGTGATAAAAAGCACATGACACTTATATGGGTAAAATTGTACTGCTGAAAGTTGAGCAGGGAGCATTACGTTTTTTTTTTTTTAGTAAATTTATCCTGGAAGATGAATGAATTTTTTTTCAGGAGACAAAACCGAGTTGCCTCCGTGCATTTTCCTTTTCGTTTGGTATTATTATATATATATCTCTCCTTTTGAATATGGATTTAGGAAAAAGAAGATGCGTCGCAGCATAACAAAATAATATATTTTTTTAGGGCGCATCTAAATTCTCACTTGTTTCGGATGTCATCATCACATTTTTCTTGTGCGTTGTCCACAGTAACTTCCATTTTCGTTTATTTCCACGCGCCACTCGACGAGATGCACATATACGAACAAAAGCAATATAGAACAATATACGCACTGCGGCAGCAACTACGAGAAATAACACAATCGATTCACGTTCTAGTATTTGTTAAATTTTAATAAGAAAAATAAATGTTATAATATATCTAAATATGTAATCTTTCTCTTATATAAAACAAAAGCTAGATTATTTGTTAATAGTATCTGTCATCACTAATTTCGCAAAACATACTACACACATAAACGCAAAATTATAAAATATGGAAGACTTTTATATAAGAAAATAGCTTTACGTAATACAAATGTAAAGTATTTTGTTATTTTAATTGCTCTGTATAGAGAATATGCAAAATTGCAGATGGTATTATAAAATACTTATACTATCTGATAGAAGACACTTTGTATTTATGCTTTTAAAGTTTTATTTTTATCTTTCGTATGAGAAATATTGTCTAAAAACAAAATGATATGTCGGTATATCGGCGACCTTCCTCTATACATATATCTATTTCTATTATTTCATCTTATTATTAATTTTGTAAATTGAAAACTGTATTTTCGGCTGTGTTCAACGCAGTTTGAAGAATTAGAAATGTATTTAAAAATTCGCATGGGAAAATATTATTAGACAACAAGATCTAGTCTCGACTCATATCTAATGTTTTTTTACTTATTTAACTACTTAATTTACCTACTTAATTTACCTATCTATTCAATATACTCCAAAAAGCAGTAAACTTATTTGTTGTCATTTTAACATAAAAATATTGTCATCAGAGTTAAATAATATTAAGTTATTATCTGGAACATTCTTAAACGGTTTAGCCTCAATCTATCAATAATTTAACTGTGTCTCATATTTATGTAGATATAGATTCGTATCTCTTTATACCTTTATATTTTTATATAGCGACGTTTGGATTTCAGAACAAAGAGGAAGAGAAAGATCGGATACAGGACAAAAGCATCGATAGACTTTCCAACAATCCCAACTGTATTTAAAAAACCACGGGGGATGCGAGATCCGACGGGCGATGACAGGACCAGCGTGGGGGTCGAGGTTCTGCCTCGTATTGACGGCAATCACGATCGTTATCGCCAATTATCCACGGCACCGCAACAGACACCTGCGCGAGCAGCTTGTTAACAGCCACAAAGTCACCAGGAATATCACTCAATTGCAAGGTGCGTTGTACACAGCAATATATAAATTGCAAATATAAATGCAGTTTTTTTTTATACGTATCGAAGCAGAAATCGCTAAAACAAGATAAGTTGATTTATTTGATTTCACTGTTTTTTCCTACATATTCTGCAAATGTAATTTTTATGTTTTTACTTACAAATTTAACTTTATTCATCAAAACAAGCTGATGTTATTTTTCG